CCCCAAAACCCCAAAACCCCAAAAACCCCAAAACCCCAAAACCCCAAAACCCCTTGATCCAATAATCGAATTTTAATTGTGTTTATTTAATTTGGATATGAGGATTTGCAGAAAATGTTTTAATAATATTAATTAATATGAGAATTTCTGCTGTTGTTTTCGGACTCTTGGTCTCCACCACTACTGTCGCTGCTGGTGACTGTTGGCAAGATGCTTATGGAAGAGGTGCTGGTAATGTTATCACTTCATGTCCTGATGGCTAAGAGAAGAATGGAGCTCTTTGCTATCCAAACTGCAAAGATGGTTTCTATGGTGTTGGTCCAGTTTGCTGGTAACATTGTACTCCAGGTTTCACTGACACTGGTGTTGATTGCCTTAAGCCATCTTCATACGGAAGAGGTGTTGGTTATGCACTCTGGCACGAAAGCAAGTGCAATGAGGAGAACCCATAAGGCTGCGAAAAGTGGGGAGCTCTCTACTATCCCAAATGTAAGGAAGGCTTCCATAACGTTGCATGCTGTGTCTGCTCACCAGATTGCGCTTCAGGCTTCACTGATATTGGAGTCTCATGTCAAAAAGACTCATACGGAAGAGGCGCAGGCTACCCACTCGGCTGTGCCAAAGGACTCGAGGAGTCAGGTGCTCTCTGCTATCCACCATGCAAAGGTGATTACTCTGGAAACGGTCCAGTTTGCTGGCAATAGTGCCCAGCAGGTATGCACACCTGCGGTGCTCTCTGCACATAATCTGCTGACAAATGCACTGATGACCTTAAGGCTATTGTCTCAAACGTCTCTACTCTTGCTACCGTCATCACTAAGGCTGCCCTTGGTCAAAAGATCGACATGTCAGAAATCATTAAGGATGCTGGTGGTGTTGCCTATCAACTTGCCGATTCTGTTTGCGATCACCCAAGCCTATTCACTCAATGATTCACTCAGATAAGCTTAGCTATCTTAATATCAATTATCATTTGCAGTAATCATTAAATCTTAATTTTTTTGGCTCTATTTCAAAAAGAGAGTGTTGGGGTTTTGGGGTTTTGGGGTTTTGGGG